GGTGCTAGTGGTAAAGAACCCGCCTGCCAGTGCAGAAGACATGAGATACGGGTTCAATCCCTGGGTTGGGAAGATCCCTGGAGAAGAGAATGGCAATGCACTCCAGTTTTCTTGCCTGGAGAATCCCAGGGACAGAGGAGCCTGCGGTCTATGATTCATAAGGTTGCAAAGAGTCAAACACAACTGAAGCCATTCAGCATGAAATTAATCATAAGTATTGGATACCACAGTCCACCATTTTTTTGTCTTTAAGAGTTATCATATATATATATATAAATTTTTACATAATTATATGCTCAACGAAGAAAACATGATAGAAAAAAAAAAGGTGGAAATTTTCACTCTAATTCTACTGCTCCAACATGGAGATTTATGGTGTATTCTTTCAGCCCCTTTTCCCATTTTTCCCATTTCTTTCTTTTCTCCTTCCTTTTCTCCCTCCCTCTCTTCCTTTTAAAAAATGGCAAAATATTTCAAATATAAGCAAAGTATTCACCATCTATATTCAACTGATGTTAATATTTTCCACATTTACTTCAGATATTTTGTAAGAACTGAGACATCAGTGGCTCCTCATGTATGCATTTGGCTTCCTTCTCCTTCCTCCCTGCCCAGAGGAAGCCATTAATATAAAAGTTGTTGTATATCTTTCCAATCCATTTTACCACATATCTCTAGAAAACGTATTGTATTATATTCTGCATTTTAAAATTTTGTATACTTAATCTCATGCTGTATTTATTATGCAACTTGCTTTTTTTTTTAACCATACATTGTTTTGAGATTTCATCTTGTTTTGTGTAGATCAAGTTCACTCATTTGAACTTTTACAGCTTCTTATTGTATGAATAATACACCTACATTTATTTCTAGGAATGGTTGTATACATCTGTTTTTACTAATGGCAATGCTGGAGGGAACCTTCTCGCACACGGCTACTCCTGCCTTATGCCAAAATTCCTGAGGTGTATGTCTAGAAATGGAAGGGCTGATTTGAAGGATAGTTTCAAATGAAGTGCAAAGTTTTTCCAGCCTACTTGTACAATTGTATTTGTACCATTGGAACTTGAGAGTGTCTGTTTCATGACAGCCTTGACAGTTAAATTGTTGCCAATCTCCTAAGTGTAAATTGGTATCTTGATATATATTATCCTGAATACCAGTGAGGTTGAAGATTTTTTTATATTAACATTCTATGGTATTTGCTTCAAATTCAGGTCATTTTTTTTTCTACAAAACTTCTAATCATTTTTGTCATTTTTTCCCATTGGACTATCTTCTTTATATATCCTGGATAATAATTCTGCATTATATACATTCCAAATATTTTTTCCCAGACTGGGTCTTGTCTTTAAACTTTATTTATGTGTCTTTTACTGCATAGGAGTTTTATATTTTTGTATAGTGAAATGTGGCCATATTTTTCTTTATGGGTTATGGTTTGTGAATTTTGTTTGATAGCTTTTCCTACCTCATGTTTATGCACATATTCCTCATTTTCCTCAAATTTTTGGCTTTCAAATTTAGGTCTATAAGCTGTCTGGAAATTATTCTTTGGTTTGGCATAAGATAGAATTCTAACTTAGTTTTTGTTTTTCTTTGTATATGATGTATAGCCAATTAATCTCAGCATATTTATTGACCTTTCCCCCCACTGATTAGTAATCCCACTTTATCATATTAGAAATTTGACATATGTATGTGTCATATAACAAATTTAACATATGTATGTAACGTATAGAATATGTGACATATTCTATATGATATATATAGATATATAATGTCATTATATATATATAATATGTATACATATGTGTATGCTAAGTCACCTCAGTTGTGTCTGAGTCTCTGCAACCCTATGGACTGCAGTCCACCAGGCTCCTCTGTCCATGGGGATTCTCCAGGCAAGAATACTGGAATGGGTTGCCGTGCCCTCCTCCAGGGGATTTTTCTCACCACGGATCAAACCTGTACATCTTACATCTCCTGCACTGGCAGGCAGGTTCTTTACCACTAGCGCCACCTGGAAAGCCATATATATGTGTGTGTGTGTGTGTGTGTGTGTGTGTATTCAGTTTCATACTTCATCCTGTATATAGTTTGCAGTATCTGCTTTCCTGCTTAGTTATATTTCACACATATTTTCCAGACTTGATTAGTGGCTATAAAATAGTTTGTTGATATAAAATAATTTGCTCATGCCCCTATTGTTAGATGTTTAATTTTTCACTATATTAAACAACATGTGATGACTCTGTCTTAGAATGCTGCTGTCCTGGTAAAGTGGGGCTGTGCACCCTAGGTGCCCTATCTCTCCAGTAGGTCTCAGTCCCGTCCCATCTCTATGGAGCGTCCCTTCTTTAACACATCTCCAGTTGATTCTCTGTGAGTGTTTTTGTGATGGTCACGGAGATGCATTGATCAGATGTGCCTTCAAAAGGACTGATTGTCTCAACTGGGGGTAATGCTATTCTCAGACACCCGTCAGCTTTCGGTCCCTTAAGAGCTTGCCTCAGCTGTTGGGAGTGCTTCACCCAAGTTCATATCCTCGAGGTGGGCCGAATCCAATGACTGATGGAAATAGGGATAGAAGGGTCCAGCCATTTTAGTCCAACATCAGAAGCTGTCAGGCTTCCTCAGTGGCTCAGTGGTAAAGAAACCGCCTGCAGTGCAGGAGCCACAGGAGACGTGGGTTCGATCCCTGGGTTGGGAAGATTCCCTAGAGGAGGGCATGGCAACCCACTCCAGTCTTCTTGCCTGAAGAATCCCATGGACAGAGGAGCCTGGCAGGCTACAGTTCATGGGGTCGCAAAGAGTCAGACACGGCTGAAGTGACTTAGCATGCATGCATGCACAGAAGCTGTCACTGGGCTGACTTTAAAGTTTGACTTCTCCCTCTCTCCAAACATACTTCCTTCTTATCCCTTTCAGAGGTGTGGATCCCTAATAAACACTGCGTGTACTAAACTCCATCTTGTAAGGTATTATACCTCCCAAAGAGCCCAACCTGTGGCAGTTGTCTTCTCTGCTTAGAGCCAGGAATCAGTCCAGATCCTCTTACTGCCTAGGTAGATTATATGGAGGCCAGGGTGACTTGAAAAGAGGGAATTGCTCTTAATATGAAACATATCTCGCAACACTGAGAAATGTGCCATATAGAGTTGGAGAATTCACCAGTTCTGGAGCACTTCCAGTTCAGCTCTGATTCTGGGGGAAGGGGGCAGGGTAGGAGGGGAGGGACAGTAAGTTTTTAAAAGCTTCTGATCCGTTTGAAACATATTTTGGAAACTATACTTCTTTGCATTAAGTGAATAATAAAATCTATTTTCCATTATAAAAGTAACATATATTTATAATGGAACATTTAGAAGAGAAGAAAGAAGAGCATCCAGTGATCAAAGACTCTTTTCCATGCATTGTTTATTTTGAATTTGTTTTACATTATTATAAATCATACCATTTATATAATTTTGTTACAGCATGTTTTTCACTTAATATTATAACCTAAGCCTTTTCTGTTTTATTTAACCTTTTATAAACATTTTAATGACTACCTTATATTATATCCAGTGAATGTACTTTGTTTATTTAACCATAATATTGACTGTTCGGTCAGTTTATAGTCTTTTTCTATTTTAAATGATGTTGCAAAGAAATCTCTGTAAATTCTTTTAATTTTTTAAAATTGGAGTATAGCTGATTTACAGTGTTAGTTTCAGGTATACAACAAATGCAAATTCTTTTTCTATATTTAATATTATTTCTTCGGGATAGATTCCCAGAAGGGAAATCACTGGATCAAGGGATTTGAATATAGGCTTCTAATTCTTGTTGCTAGATTGCTTTCCTGAAGAGTTTTGTGTTCATTTTTTGATATGGAATAAGGAACAGTTTATGTAATTTTATACCTGCCTGGGTGGCCAGAGACCAGGTAAAGAAACCTGAAGCAGAACTGGGCTTCTCTAGTTGGGAAAGTCCTTTCCAAATGGACACAGTCTGGTATTCATCACTTTTAATTTCCACTCACCATCTCTCATCCAGGATACAAGTAGAGCAGGACCATTACTCAATTCTCTTGTGGAGCTTTGAATAAACTCATAAAAGAGAATGTTCTTACCTGTGATGGTTGCAGTCCCTGCTGGTAAATGTGTGATCAAGATGTTGCTAATTCAACAGTCAGTGATCAGAAGAGGAAGGCTAGAGGGAGAGATCTCAAAATTCAAGATTATTGCTTTGAAGTTTGGGGCCTGATACTGCTCTAAAGGTTAAGAATCACCATTCACTGGAATTCAACAGTTAACATTTGAAAAGTGATTCAGTTCCAACTTCCAAATAAGTTTAAAATTTTAAATTAAACACAGACTTTCTCTCTGAGGTTGTGGTTTTCAAGGGTAGCAGGACTCATCAAGAAATTTGACTTTAGCCATGCCTGGGTGAGAGGTTTCGAACAAATATCCATGTCATCAATTTCAGCCCTCATTTCCTACAAATAGACTAAGGCAGCTTTGAACTTCTTTTGTCATTAAGACATTTGATTTGCCTCCTTAATCCTCCACCCAAGTTCATTTCACAAGATGGACTTATTTTCAGGTACCATAAACACCCAGTTCTACCAGATTTTCTTTGACTGCTGGAGAAACTCTGGGTTGTGCCTGAGTCACACACATTTTACTGCGTCTCCGCTGGCATGAAATTCATATTCATTGGCCTCTTCTCAGAGTGAAGTTGACTTGCTCTCAATCTCGAGTCCAGAATTCCAGTGGACACATGGTGATTCCCAAACCATTGAAGGCTCATCTTGACGGGCTCTGACAATCTCAGTCCAGCCGGGTTCACTCTGAGCAGTCCCCTGTCCCTTTGTGAATGGCCACAGAAGCTTTCACTCTTGCTCTGCGTTCTAATAGCCCCTCTTGCATGAACTGTGCCAAAGCAGTGCTTCAAAATATTCATCCATATCATGTGGCTTTTCTTGCTGCAGTTTCTGTTCTTTTTTATTGTAGGATCTGGAGATTCACCGCTAGAAGATGATGAAGTCGTGTATTCAGACGCTAAATATAAAGGTGAATGCTTTGCTTATGTGCTAATGAAGACCTGCTGATGCCAGGAGAACTTTCCCTCTTGCCCTGCAGAACCGATTATAATAAAGTGACCAGACAACACATTTTCACTTGTATTCCCTATCCAGAAAAGAAAATGTTTAAAAAGTAACATGCATATGCTTCCATTTGAAAGAAAATACAGAAAAAAACAAATGAAAGAAAACTAAAAGCATTTGAAAATCTCTGAAGTGCTGCCCTTCAGCACCCCAGTGGTCATTTTATTCTCATCAATTTCTTTACTATCCTTACTTCTGCAAAGCCAAGCTCTAGCTGATGAAAGTGAAAATCAAGCCATGAGTTCTACCTAATTCATACATTACAGCCAGACTCATCCTGAGTAAACCTTCCAAGGTCAAATCTGGACCCAGTGCTGCTAATGTACTGAGATGAATGGGGAATGAGAAAACTTGATTTTCATAAGCTCATTTCATTGTGCTCTTTCTGAGTGTGGCTTGGCTCCTGAAATGATGAGTAAAGTGTGTTGACCAATGAAACTTTAATGATAAAGAATTCCATCTCTACACATTTTCAGCAATTCACCCCTTCCAGCAGGTATAAAAAGCCTAATCAAGAACCTTCTATGCAGGCTCAGGTAAGTATGTCCATAAATAAATATTTTCTACTGGTGAGTTGTTTCTCTGAAACTTAAGGAGTCCTGAGAAAAGTGAAGGTAAATTTAGATTATTCCTTGCTGAATCCAGTTCCTTTTACATTTGAGATATAATTTGAATCAAATTGCTTAATAAAGTTCCATCATGGCTTTTTGTCCAGAAAATTTGTCTATATTTTGGCAAGAGCACTCCCCTGCTCTGTCATGATGTATCTGACTTATAGGAGGATCAGGGTAGTACTGGCCATTCTTTGGTTGGAGAAGGTCCTTCAGTTGTTTTCTACACAAGTGAACAGCCTTTCTAATATAATGACTGGTACCTATGTCCAGGTGTGTTTCCCACCATATTCCATGTTTGCTTATGACCTGTGACTACAAATACTCATTCCTATCCATAGCTCCTGTATTACTGCCTCAGGAATTAACCAGTCAAGCAAAGCACAGACTTGTTAATGAGTTGTTTGGAGTAAGGTGGTTTTCCTATTCCTAACACTTCTTAATTGATTGAGAGTTTTAAAAAAACCTTCCTAAAACACATGCGTACCCATGTGACCCTTCACATGTACAAGAGGCATTGTGTAGTGCCCTTGGATCATTGTTCCAGTGTTCATCCTCCCTTCACAGCATTGGAGGTATGGAAGGTAGACCAGATGGCCAAAATATATGCTTGCCCTAGAGCTCATTTAGAATATTTAAGAATATGTACTTCTTAGGGAATTGTTTTCATTGTCAGTTATTTTTAAATTCTAAAACTTAGAGGCAAACCATTATTCACCAGGGGATTAGTTGTAGATCCTCAGGCCCCTACACAGTGTCTGGCACAGAGTATGTACTCAGTGTTTTTTTAATTAAATTTATGATATAAACCATAATTTATAAAAGAAAGAAGATGTGAAATGTAACCAACACTTAATGTGGCAAGCCTGGCTTTTGATTCTTTTTCTTGGAATGCCATTCTGTCTTCACACTAGTGGAGGGGAGGAGGAAGGCATTAGAGATATGTTGTTATTACTTATTTACAGATGAAGGAACCGCAGATTAGAGAGGAGAGGTGACTTGCCCAGACTCACACAGCTAGCAAACATTATGTTTGGGTTTAAACTCCAGATGTTTTAGCTCAACATCCAGAGTTTACTAGTGGTTCCTCCTTAGTCTGCTACATGATACTGCTTACCCCCAGGAACTCCACAATGGCCCAGGGAGATGAAAAAGCTTTCCAGAAGAATTAATTTAGGTTTCTTCCTAAATAAACTGTCTTAATTGAAGCAGCATAAGAGCTTCCTTTCTGTAAATCTCTATTTTAAACATTTTGCTAAATCACTTTTTAAAACATTTATTTTTAAAATTATTTTTAAAAATTAATTTTTATTGGAGCATAGTTAATTTATGATTCTGATTTGTTTTCCACTGTACAGCAAAGTGAATCATTTAATACACATGTAACTCATGGTATTTGCATGCATTTCAAATTCAAGTCACTCTGTGACTTTTTCATTACTGTCACTCCAGGGCTGTTAAAATGTCAAAATACCTTCCAAAGATTTGTCTTGGGAAGTAATCCAAAATAAATTCCTTTGGAAAAAAAATAAAAACAGGATTCTTTCCCCCACATGTTGACAACAACATAGCTTTTGGATAGGTAGCCAGCACTGTTTTTTAGTTGGGTGAAGGCTTAGAATATCTTAATTTAAAAAAAAAACTGCTAATGGCCTGGTTGTACTGAAATATGTGAATTTGTGATACATGTATATGCCCATCATTCTGTAATATACCTGCTAGCGTTAACTATTTGTCCTGGGCACAGTTGTGGAAAAGACAACCGTAATATGTGTGCTAAGCATTGTGGGTCTGCTGCCTGACATTAGTTTACTCTAAGACCCTGTACTTCCTAACCTCACATCAAAGTCCAGAGGTTGGAGGATGTGAGTCTTTTCAACATTCGAGCGAAAAACGAGTAGAGAATTGGATGCCCTTCCAGGTTGTAAATCTGTGGAATTGTGATTGGAACCCACAATGTAAAAAGGATTTGCCTTTAGCTGGAAGGATTGTGGGAGACTACCCAAAGTTATTAGTCAGAAGGAGTAAGGAGGTAGATGTGAGTGTGAGATGGGTAGGAGGGCAGAGAGGCATAATTTGAATTTGAATTTGAATCATACAACTGCAAAGCTAGATGGGACATTTTTTGGACATTTTTAAAGTGGTATAAAATTTGATCAGAATAAAAATAAACATTGTATTGGGTTGCCCAAAAAGTTCATTCAAGTTTTTCTGTATCATCTTAGGGGAAAACCCAAATGAACGTTTTGTCCAATGCAATAGATGGGACTTCTAAAATAATTTCATCAGATTCCTTACTTGTGTAGATTAGGAACCTGAGTCCCTGAAAAGTGTTTTGAATTACTAGGAGATGATAGATTTAGATAATATGAGCCCAGTCCTCTTGACTTTGCCCAGTATCCACCATACGCTACCAGCTCACTGTTTTCATCACCTCCCTCTGGGTCTCCCATATTCCTTCTCACCTCATCACCCTTCTGCCCCAATGGGGATTTCGTTTGCTCTCTCTAGAGCCCAGGTCTCAGTCCAGGATTTCAGTTTGGCCTGTGAGATGGTGACAAAAGGGCAGTGAAGGGGACCAGTTGGCAGGAGAAGAGGAGGCTGGAACTAGAGAAGCACAGAAGCATTGCAGTCCACAAGGGGAACTTAGAGGAAGTGAGGTAGTGGGGGAGTTAGGGAAAGGGGGCGGGGGCAAAGAGGACAAAGACAAAGAGGTAAGGCCACAGATGACCTTTAAGATCTAACACTGTGAAAGTCCTTTGTGGACTATACAAAGTGCTTCTTTGAGCTTTAAAACACTAAGTACATTTTGGACTTTCCTTGTGGGTGGTCTTTCTTATTACAGTTGGAAAAGAAAGGCAGAAAGAGAGAGGGAGGGAGAAATATACATCACTTCTAGTAGTCATAGAAGCCAATAGGTTCCAAGTCTTGGAGTGGTAGGCATCTATGGATTTTTTCAGAATTTATCATAAGGACTTTTAATTATAGAAGAAATATCCACAGCTTGACAGTACTAAGCAAACATACCCCCAAAGGCTTCTCATTTACCTGCGATCTTGAAATCTCTTACCTTCGTGGCTTACCAGGAGCCATCACCAAAGAAAGAACTAAAACATTTAAAATTGGTTCAAAAATTCTTTTATACTTAGAAGAAAATACTGGAGATAGTCTGCTGTTTTGTACTTCACTTCAGGGTCAGATTTTTCTCATTTTAAAATGTTAGCACATACAGACTGGATGTGTAAACCCCAGAGGAAGAAAACTTCATTCCAGAGAGGGCTGGAGGCCTGGTGTAAGCTCCTGCAAGTCTGTATCCACGTGGTCAAACTTAATCAGCTCTAGACTAAGCCTGGGACAACACTTCTCCCCAGGAAGTCCAGGAAATTCTGCTTGAGCACCTTAGCACCCATTTGCAGCTGCCTGAAAAGCATTATATGATGAAAATATTAGCCAAAGGCGATGTCAGAGCACATAAGTTAAAAAAAAAAAAAAGGAAAACAGTCTATGCACGAGACCTGGACAGGAAGGACTGTTGGTTTTCATGGTTGAGAAGCAGCCAGAAACACAAGTCAAATAGGGAGTTCCCTGTGTGGCCACATGATGGCGCACAAACCCCACTTGACAGCTCAGGTGCTAGGGGAAAGTGAGGAGCATGGCAGCCGCAGGGAGGGGACACCTGTTCAGGGTGTGGAGAGCCTGACAGACTTGAGGGAGCTCGTCTCTGGTCCCCACTGATGTGTAGTGGGAAGTGTGGGAACTTTCCAGGAGCTAGTCTTGTCCTGCTAATTTTATGGCTCTCAGCGAGCACCTACTAAAAGCCCAGGGAGAGGTCCTAAAGTATGTGTCGCCTTAAGCTGTACTCTGGGCAACTACGAGACTGAAATCAAAACACCCTGGAACTTTGCCATTGGAGAAGGGTGTCATCTCCTACCTAAAGGGGGCTTAACTGCAGACATCTGAGAAGGGAGGTTGCTTCCCAATGGGGAGTCACTGTTCTGTGCCTTTAAGCCCAAATTATATCCTGTGGCAAAACCCTGGAAATTGTTGCTGTATCTACACTCATTAAGATGGGATTATGTGTTTTTACAGTGACTATGATACAAACTTGGAAAAAAATCTAAATTGACCAATTATTAACTCCCTGCCACCATGTATGGATGGTTGGGGTTAGAGTTCACAATGGTAACAGTTGCTCTCAAGAGAATTCTGTCTCTAGTCGAGGAAAATATTCAAAAGAACAAGCATTCATTGAGCATTTACTATGTGCTAGGCACTGTGCTAGTTGCTTACTATGCATTTTTTTCAGTCCTTGTAAGAGTCCTATGACATAGGTAGGAGTATTGACTCGGAGAGGTTAAGTAATTTGTCCAATGTCACATAGCCACCAATGGAGGAACCTGGACCCATACTCAGATATATCTGACACCTAGTCCCGTGACCGTAACCTCCCCACCCACCTTATAAGACACAGAGCACTATTTGGAGGTCCGACGTTTGGAATGCAGCCAGTCAGGGACTTTGAGACTGAAAAAGACACGTTTTCTGAAGATGTCTTTTTCTATTTCTCCTTTTCCTTTGTTTCTGCTCCCTGTAGACATCCCGTGGTGCTCCCCCATCAAGGTGAAGTACGGGGATGTGTACTGCAGGGCCCCTCAAGGAGGATACTACAAAACAACCCTGGGAACCAGGTGTGACATCCGCTGCCAGAAGGGCTATGAGCTGCAGGGCTCTCCCCAGGTGATCTGCCAGTCAAACAAACGGTGGTCGGACAAGGTCATTTGCAAACGTGAGTAGCCTGGCCCCATGTGGGGATCTCAGGGCCAATCAGAGCCAAAGTTCTTTTTTTGTTTGTTTGTTTTAAAGATTTTTTTTTTAAATGTGGACCATTTTTGTTGTTATTATTTGGTTTTTTGGTTATTTGGTTTTGTTTATTTGGCTGTGTTGCAGTATGTGAGATCTAGTTCCCAGCGATTGAACCTGGGCCTCCTGCATTGGAAGCATGGAGTCTTAGCCTCTGGACCATCAGGGAAGTCCCTGATGGTGGACCATTTTTAAAGTCTTTACTGAATTTGCTACAGTATTGCTTCTGTTTTCTGTTTTGGTTTTTTTGCCCCATGACATGTGGGATCTTGGCTCCCCGCCCAGCCCAGGGTGTGAACCTGTACCCCCTGCATTGGAAGGTGAAGTCTTAACCCCTGGACCGCCAGGGAAGTCCTGGGGCCTAAGTTCTTTTGCTCTGAGATAAAGGATTTTTACTGAATGTTTTGCGGGCTGTGATGAGAAAAACTCCTCTGTGAGCAGAAGCTAATGTGTTCCTAAGATATGGCAGAAGATGACACATTTCAGACAGAGGGGTGTGATTGGCTGTTTGAAAGGGGGAGAGAACAGAGGTTTGTTTTGCACTATGTTATGTCTGTTTAATGAGTGCTAAACCCTGGAAAGGTGTTGGGGATTGAGAAACAAGACACATTCCACCATCAAGGGTCATCTGCCATCAGGAGTCTCACAGAACAGCATCAGAGACAGCGGGCAGAGGAGTAAACCACAGTATAAGTGCAAGAATGGTGCTCTGGCCCACCTCCAAGCTCCTCCTTTATGGGAGGCAGATGGTGATTGCAGCCATGAAATTAAAAGACTCTTGCTCCTTGAAGGAAAAGCTATGACCAACCTAGATAGCATATTAAAAAGCAGAGACGTTAGTTTGCCAACAAACATCTGTCTAGTCAAAGCTGTGGTTTTTCCATTAGTCATGCATGGATGTGAGAGTTGGACTATCAAGAAAGCTGAGCACCAAAGAATTGATGCTTTTGAACCGTGGTGTTGGAGAAGACTCTTGAGACTCCCTTGGACTGCAAGGAGATCAAACCAGTCAATCATAAAGAAAATCAATTGTGAATATCATTTGAAGGACTGATGCTGAAGCTCCAATACTTTGGCCACCTGATGCTAAGAGCCAGCTCATTAGAAATGACTCTGATGCTGGGAAAGATTGAAGGCAGGAAGAGAAGGGGAGGACAGAGGATGAGATAGTTGGACGGCATCACCAACTTGATGGACACAAGTTTGAGCAAGCTCTGGGAGTTGGTGAAGGACAGGAAGCCTGGCATACTGCAGTCCATGGGGTCACAAAGAGTTGGACACAACTGAGCGACTGAACAACGACAAATCAGTAAGCAAATGGAAAAAGAAAACACTACAAAAAAGGGCAAAAATCAAAACCAGTTGCAACATAAAAGAGAAAATGCAAATGGCTGAGAAACCAGGGAAGAAAAGATTTGCCTCACCAGTGTCAACGAAAATAATCAATAAACAATCTATAATAGAATAGAAGAGAGTTTTATCTAAGCCAAACTGAGGACTCTGTGGTAACCCAAGGATGAAAGAGCAGATAAAGCCAAGGAGGGCCTTGGAATGCAGGAATGGAAAAACCAGACCCTTAGCGTCCTTCTCTCCCCCATGTTGTAACTATTAATGGATTTCAGGTCCTTCTGAGCAGTATAACCTGTCTCCCCTCCTACCCCGTAGGGAGAAGGTATTTGCCCTACTCTTCCCTCCACCCAGTATACATGCCTCATCCAATCAGCAAATGACCCACAAGACCCCTGTCCCACTCCTTGTACCCTGGATATAAAAGTGGACTAAGTTCCCCTGCTCAATGTTGGTTCTCCTTTGAGTTGGCCCACTGTTCTATCAGCATCTCCCACTCTAATAAACTTTATTTCCCTCTCAAAAAAAAAAAAAGGTGCTCTTCCCTGGACTACTGGAAGTAGAGAGAAGTGCTCCTCCACGAGGTAGAGCTTAGGGAGGCAGGGAAGAATTACCCCCTGAATGATGCTCATTCCCTGAAAGGCACCAGGCCTCAGGGGAGAAGACTGTAAGCACATTTCAGGTGCTGACTTTGAGCTTCCTGAAAAGTTCTGTCTCATTTGGGAAACTGCACATTGCACAGCATGGTTGAAGCACATTTCAGGTGCCATTGCTTTTCCAGACCGCTGTCATGAATGGAGCACTTGTTGTGTACCAAGCGTTTCACATACATGCAATTTTGGCAACAACACTGTTGATATGGGTGCCTTTAACTGTTGGGGAAACTGGGGTTGGGGGCTGCAGCCTTGTGATTCAGTCTGTGTAGACGACTATACCATTTGGGTGACTATCCTGGACAGTATGTGCTTCTCCCAGGTGTCCTGGAGGCCCTGCTACCTGTTGCTCTTCATGACTTGTACCGTCAATTGACCTTCCTCCGAGGAAGAAGAGGCTCTGCTCCTTCAGAGCACTGTTTTCTCCATTCTAACAGGGAAATCAGACCCCGTGGGCAGTCTCTAGCTGCCCAGTATTACTGACGGGTAAAGGATTCTGAAAGCCCAGCTACCATGCCTGGAGGCAGGGCAGACTCAGGTGTCAATCATGCTCCAGGGCTCCCCTGCGAGATTGGGCTGAGGCTCACCTGGCCTGAGATACCACCTTGCCCCCCTTCCTCCTCTCCCCGTCCTGCCTCCCCCACCCTTCACTGTTCTCCCCTGGAAGCACATTCTTACTCCAAATCGGAGTTTGGAGCAGAGAAAGGTTTTTTGCGGGACAAAGCAAGGAGAATCAGTGGCTCCAGCCCAAACTCACCCCGCCTCCCAACTGCCCGGAGGGTTTTATCACAGCCTGTTTAAAGGCCAGGTGTGTGTGTGGAGGGGTTGTGGGTCTCAGGGTACAAGATAAGTTCATGCACAGTTCTTTGATTGGTTGATGGTGAGGTAACAGGGTGGTTAACATTATAGGCGCCAGGGGTCTGGGGTCATCAAGTAGTTCATTGTGCCCATTTGGTGGTGGTTTTAGCATTTGAAAAACTCAGGGAGTGTGCATCAGATACTATTATCTGGGTCTTCAGAGAGGAGTTAGCATGGAGGATATGGGAAGAAGAGGTCTGCCTCCCCAAAGTCCTCATGGCATCCTGCTTGGTGACACCATCCATCTTTTCTCAGACTTCTATCTGCTTTATTTCAGTTAACTTTCCCCTATGCTTTCAGTTTCTGGACTCTGAAACTCCGTGACAAAAACTAAGACATGCTGAATCTCTGGTTTTCTCTTTTTCAGAAAAGCGATGTCCTACCCTTGCCATGCCAGTGAATGGAGGGTTTAAGTGTGTCGACGGTGCCTACTTTAACTCCCAGTGTGAGTACTATTGCTCGCCAGGATACACACTGAAAGGGGAACGGACAGTCAGGTGTATGGACAACAAGGCCTGGAGTGGCCAACCAGCCACCTGTGTTGGTAAGAAAATATCACCAGTTCTCAGGAGGCACCTACTTTGGGAGAAGCAGGGGATGTCTATACAGTGGACTTAAAATTTTTATTTATGTATCTATCTCTACCCAGTCTTAGTTGCAGCATGCAGGATCCCTAAATTGCTGCATGCAAACTCTTAGTTGCAGCAGGTGGGATCTAGTTCCCTGATCATGGATGGAACCTGGGCCCCCTGTATTGGGAACATGGAGTCTTAGCCACTGGACCACCAGGGAAGTCCCCATAAAGGAAGCACCTGTGTTCTATGTGCAACACCTAAGGGCCCAGTTTTGCTTTCTGTGGTTCTTGTCATCCCTATTTCTCTGGCTCAGCACAGACCTAGCCTCAGTCTCTTTGCTTGAGTTGACTTCACAGCTCATGGCTTTCCCGTGACTTGTCTCTCTCTTGGATTGCAATCGAGGCAGCTGGAGGCTGGCAGAGAGCGGTATGGGGCAATCCTGCTATTTTAGTTCCAGGATGTGCCCTGAGCATTGAGCAGAGTTGTTGACATTTGGCCGGACGGTCCTGCGGGGAGCAGCTCTGTGCCTTTCAGCCCACAGACATAGTTCCTTTGTTAGTGACTCTGGGAATCAGCAAATGCTCAGTGGGCTAAACTGGCAGGGATTTGGCTGTCTTACCTGACTCTGGATTTGTTGGCAGTAGTTCTTAGTTGTGGTTCTGGGGAGCCTTGCCTGCAGCCTCGCTGGAACTCTTTTTTTTTTAATTAATTATTTTTGGCTGCACTGGGTCTTCATTGCCTCTCTCGGGCTTTGCACTAGTTGCGGTGAGCAGGGGCTACTCTTGGTTGACAGTGTGCGGGCTTCTCTTGTTGCAGAGCACAGGCTCCAGGGCACACATACTTTGGTAGTTGCAGTGTGTGGGCTCAGTTGGGGCACACGAGCTTAGTTACTCTGTGGCATATGGAGTCTTCCTGGATCAGGGCTCGAACCCATGTCCCCTGCATTGGCTGGTGGAGTCCTATCCACTGTGCCACCAGGGAAGTCCTTGCTGGAACTCCTTACACATGCAAATTCAGGGCCCCACCCCAGACCTGCTGAATCACAAACTCTGGGCATGGGCCCAGCACTTGGCACTTTAAGGAGCCTTCCAGGGCTTTCAGAAGAGCTTAAAGAGAGAGCCACTGATCTAAGACAGTGCTTCTCCAGTTTGGGGATCACCTGGGAACCTTGGTAAAAATGTAGCTTCTGCTTCAGGAGATCTGGGGCAGATTCTGGGGTTCTGCTAGACCCTGCTCTCGACAAGGTTTCTGAATCTTGGGATAATGCACATCTGGTGTCAGATAATTATTTGTCATGGGGTCCTGTCCTTTGCACTCTAGAATGCTTAGAGCCTTGGCTTTTACCTGCTAAATGCTAGTGACATCTTTCCCCGGCTCCCACGTGTGACAACCAAAAATGTCTTCAGACATCGTCCAATGTCCTCTGGAGGGAGGAGGAGAGGGAGGAGAAAAATCACCCCTCCTTTGAGAATCACCCATCTCTGAGCAGTGGATACCCACCCTGACTACTTACTAGAATCACCTGATCTTTTAGAACCTAGCCATGCCTTGATCCTGGGGCTTCCCCAGAAGCTCATCGGTAAAGAATCCACCTGCAATGAAGGAGACCTGAGTTCAGTTCCTGGGTTGGGAAGATCCCCTGGAGAAGGACATGGCAACCCACTCCAGTATTCTTGCCTGGGAAATCCCATGGACAGAGGAGCCTGGCGGGCTACAGTCCATGGGGTTGCAAAAGTGTTGGACATGACTTAGTGACTGAACAACAACACAGCTTGGTTTTACCCTAGAGATTCTGACTCAGTTAGCCTGATGTGGGATAGCTGAAGGAGGCGAGTGGCATTATAAAAGCTTCCCAGGTGGTTTTCATGCACAGCCAGACTCAGGACCATCATCTGAGAGCAGTGGATCTCAGAGAGTGTGGACTCCTGACCAGAAGCATTAGAAATGCACATTTCCAGGCCTGCAGGATTGTCGATGCTGGAGTGAGGCTTAGCAATCTGCATTTTTACAGGCCCTCCGGGACATTCTGATGCTCTAAAGGTTGAGAACCTGCCTTGGAAGATCAGATTTGGGAAGAACTTTTCGTACCTTTTGGAGAAGGAAACGGCAACCCACTCCAGTATTCTTGCCTGGAGAATCCTATGGACAGAGGAGCCTGGCGGGCTACAGTCTATAGGGTCGCAAATAGTCAGACACAACTGAGCAACACAATACTTAGTACCTTTTAACGCAAAATAGTGCCCAGCAGTTTGAACACCAGCTGGAAGCTTGTTAGAAATATAGACTCTTAGGACCTATCCCAGACCCGACAGATCAAAATCCACATTGTAAGAAGATCCCCAGGGGATTCCTATGTCCTTTTAAAGTTGAAGCAGACTGCTCTGGGACAGTGGTTTTTAACTCTGGCTGCAGTTTAAATCTGAGTATCTGGGGTCCTGGCATTTTTCCAAAACTAATCCAGGTAATTGAAAACTACTATCCCAGGAGACTGTTGACTCATAACATGTTAGAGCTGCCAGGACCCAGCCTAACAGAACATTCTAGTCCAATCCCCCTTCTGCAGATAAGGCCTTGACTTTGTTGATATTGCATAGAGCCAAGCCTATGTCTCCAGGCTTTTAGGCTCAAAGTCCCTGAATCCAGAGACAGCTCTGGCACAGAGGTGGCAAGGCAGCTGACTGCAGGAGCCTGGCTCCTATGCTGCTTGGGTCTGCCCATCCTGCAAAGAACCATTCAGCTCAGGCTGCGCGTGCCCATTCCTCCAAGGACTCCTTCCTGACAGCTCAGCGTCTGGGCAGACAATTCAGGGATGTGACTGAAACTGAATGCTGCCCTCTGGGGGCAGTTGTACAACAGCTTCTCTGGCCTTGGTCCTACGGGTATCTTCATGATGGTACCACTGTTCACTGTCTCCCTTGGCAGCATCGGTCATCCTTATTCTTCAGTTATAGCCAGTGGACTGACCCAAGATGTGAACCTTCTACATCTTCTACATCACAGCCTGGACCTTACCTTACATCCGTCTTAACAAGAGCACCAGGTCCAAGTAATTTCTCAGATAACTGACTCAGATTTATTCCTGACTTCTCTTTTTCTATGATTTAGATGGGAGTTTGAATTGATCAGTAATTGGGAAGACAGAAACCATTCTAGGTGTTTCCAACAGGGGAGACGTTAATACAGGGTAGTGGTTACAAACATATAGGAAGGGCTGGAGGGACAAAAGAGGAAAAAGACTGTTACCAGACATTGTGTGCATGTGCACTCAGTCGTGTCCAACTCTTTGTGACTCCATGGACTGTAGCCTGCCGGGCTCCTCTGTCCGTGGGATTTCCCAGGCAAGAATACTGGAGTGGGTAGATTCTCCAGGCAACCTTTCTGACCCAGGGAAGCATCTCCTGAATTGGCAGGCAGATTCTTTAGCCCTGCGCCACCTAGAGATTAGTTAGAGCAGAAATCCATCCCAACCAAGGGCTGGGGGGAGCAAAAGTGGCCTAGTGGTGTTACCCAAAGTCCATAAACTCACCCTGAGGCTGACATGTCTGCAGCTGGCACCATCATGGATGAGAATGAAGCCAGGAGCCCAGGAAACCTTCATGAAAGCCCCTACCAGAAGCCTAATGGCTTCCCTCTTCGTCCTGCCCTCTGTCCTCATGGGAGTGCCTCCCATTGGCAAACCTAGCTGGCACCCAGCTGGCAGAAGGAGTCCAAGACATGTCAATTTGAGAATTTCAGTACAGGCAGTAAAGATTTCAGTGCAGGTGATGATTTAAAAACAACTTCCAACAGAATCTGTGCCACAGAAGCCTCTTTCTTTCTTTCTTTCTTTCTTTCTTTTTTTGGCGGTACTGTGTCTTTGTTGCCGCACGTGGACTTTCTCTAGTTGTGCTGAGTGGAGGACTACTCTCTAGTTGTGATGTGCGGGCTTCTCATTGTGGTAGCTTCTCTTGTTGTGGAACACGGGCTCTAGACACACGTAGTTGTGTCACACAGGTTTAGTTGCCCGGAGGCATGTGGAATCTTCCCGGACCAGGGATTGAACCCATCTCCCCTGTGCTGGCAGGCGGATTCCCAACCACTGGACCACCAAGAAGTCCTCAGCAGCCTTGCTCTGAGGTCTTAGACATCTCCCTGTAAATCGCTGTCGTTCTCAGTGAGGAGGAGCCTGCAAAGCGGCCCTGCTCAGCCCATGCATGTAGGATAGCGCTCAGGCTGTGAGCTCCAGGCACACTCTTCTAGAAGGACATGACCTGAGGCCAGATGTTGAGGTTTAAGAGCCCCTCCCAGATGTTGCTTTCACTTGCTGCCTGGTGACTTGGAGTGTGCAAGCTAGCTCTTCAGAACACTCCACTCCACCGCCCACCCATCCCCCCCCCCCACCCCCGGCTTTGAATGTCTGTTCCCGCACATTGGAAGGGGCAGAGGTGATGGGAGGGGAGGAGATACTCGAAAATCTCCCTGCTGAGCAAGCACTGGCAGAATCCTCCAGGGATCACAGTTTTTCAGATGTCCAGACTGTGCCTAACAGTGGAAAGAAAGTGCTGATTGTTCTCAAAAAGCAACAAGCATGTCTTAAGCCGGACCAGATGGGCCTGGAACCTTCCCAGAGGGAGAGAGAAAAAACTAAGAAATGAACCCCAATTCCAGGGGATTGATCTTAGAGTGGGACAGAGCAAGGTACAGACATCTTTGGGGGTAGGGGAATTGGTGCATGCAGTGGGAGGGGTGAAAAGGAGATCAGTGATCAATGAGCTCCCAGGAAAAAAAAAAAACAAGACACAGCAAGCAGGCAAATCTTTCTTTGATTCTGTGACAGATAAGCTGGAGTTTGTCCCCTGTGAATTTTACTCCAGGGATGTCATGGACTCTTTGGCTTTCAATGTATTATTAAATGAGTTTATTGGCTTGGTATGTTGGCAGGGCTCAGGGGTCTGTGAGCACAGCTTGGAACCTCAGCCTAGTTTAGGAG